TGTGTGTGTGTGTGTGTGTGTGTGTGTGTGTGTGTGTGTGTGTGTGTGTGTGTGTGTGTGTGTGTGTGTGTGTGTGTGTGTGTGAGAGAGAGAGAGAGAGAGAGAGAGTAATTAAAATAGCCCAATTGCTTTTACAATAAATACACATTGAATGTGTTTAATTGAATAGGAAAGGGGGTTTAACGTTAGTGGCAGGTTGTGTGTGAGAGAGAATAAATAAGACAGCCCAATATTTAAAAAAAAATCTATTCTTTTTCGCAACTTTCCACATATTTCACCGCATAAAATCACATAAAACCCCCGCATGTTTAATCGCATAATCAAGGATTTTAGCCCGTGTTTTTCTGGAGGGTCTAAAATAATAAGTATGGTCAACTTTATCTGGATTTAGATGTGCAACCACATAGCTAAAATACATAGTAAATTCAACATAGCATTTCTTTGTGTAAGCATTTTAACATCTACCATGACCCCAGCCACAACAATTGTTGATAAATTAAATTCTGACATGACTTCTGAATTTGCAGACTTCTTCACCACGGCTGTTTTAAGCCTACTACCTTTTTGTTATTTGCCCTTCAGCTCACCTGTGAACCCGCAGGCCTCGGCCAGCAGGAAGGTGCTCCAGGACATGAGGAAGAAGAGCGCCGTCTCCAGCAGCGGGAAGCAGTGCAGCTTCGTGAACTTGGTGACGTGAGAGTGACGTTAAAGACACAACAGCACAGTCTGGTTTTAAAATATATATAAACAAACATTTTCAAAAAACTTTCTGAGACTTGAGTGTGAGGATATGAGAGCGGTGACGACTCCGGTGGCGGCTCCCATCACGAAGGAGCCGCTGAAGATCCCGATGAAGACCCCGACGGACTTGAAGAAGGCAGCGGCGTCGAACATGTGAGTGTTCGTTCCGCTGGGCTGGTACGCCACGATGGAGCTGGAGACACAGGACAGAAAACAGGGATTAAAAAAAACCCCTGATATTTTCAGTGTTTTTTAAAGATAGTCCATTGTTTGAATGGATTTACCTCATTAAGCAGGTTCATAACGACATACTTGTCTTTTTGAACATTAATATACCACATTATAGAAGCAATCCCTTCTACCTGATGCATATTCTTTTTCGGTTTAAAAATTAATTAAATCAATAATAATCGTAATAATATATATATGTATCATTATTACGATTATAAAAACAAATATTTATATTATTGTTTTAATTATTTATTTAGATATTAACTGTTGTTAGTTATTGCACAACTATATATTATATATATATATATTTTTATAATTGTATTGTTTTTTTGTGACACCTCTGTATGTGGATTCACAAGAAGCAATGATTTTTAAATTATAATTTTTTTGTTTGTGAAATGTGAAAAGTCTTTATCCCTGGTAAAGCAGTGGTGTCCGCTATAATACAAATATGTATAAGTGTGAGTAGACAATTTGGAAACTACAAATTTGGATAAATTAGAGGATGAGATAAGAAGACACTTATTTAATTCATATATTTATTTAGAGGGACTCTCCGCTATATGGATTCCAATGATGCCAAAATATATAAATTATTTTATGTTAGTTTGATCAAATGTGAATAGTTTTGTTTCCCTTTCACTGACAATGCAGCAGAGTACGCTATAATACAAATAGGAATAACACAGAAATGAGTGGATTAATAATTCATTCTGCCAGTAGAGGGAGGCAGAGTGTGTGTTTCAGCAGACAGACCTGTCTCACACCTCACTGTGGAATTTCATCAGCAGTCAAAGTCAAAGAGAGTTTGATAATAAATCATGAGTGTAACGTACGAGGAGAGCACGATGGCCACGGCGTCGTTCATCACGCTCTCTCCAAACAGCAGAGCGTAGAGATCCCCATCAGCGTGCAGATCGTTGAAGATGGCCAACACCGTCACTGCACACACACACACACACACACACACACACACACACACACACACACACACACACACACACACACACACACACACACACACACACACACACACACACACACTCTCTTATTATAGAGACATACACTGCGTCTCACAGTTTTCACTTTGTCATTATGGGGTACTGTGTGTGGCATGTTGAGAAAAACAAGGAATGTAATCAAGTTTGAAATAAGGCAGTAACATAACAAAATGTGAAAAAAGTAAACGGTATGAATACTTTCCAGATGCTTGGGCAGTAATGGATTACATGTAACTTGATTATTCAATCAGGCGCAATCAGATCACTGTTTCATTTCTAAAAATTGTGGATTACTAGGATGTTGTGTCTCTCTGTCTGTCTGTCTGTCTGTCTGTCTGTCTGTCTGTCTGTCTGTCTGTCTGTGTGTGTGTGTGTGAGTGTGTGTGTGTACCTGGGTCAGTGGCGGACATAATGGCACCAAAGAAGAGGCAGTCTGTGTAGTAAAACTTGTCCGTCAGCTGTCCCAAAACCTGCATCAGTTTCACCACGCCGTACATCAGATTCCTGCAGACACACGAGCAAAGAAGAGGAGAATAAAAGCGTGAGGTGGAAGGACTATTCAGATCCTTTTCTTAAGAGTAAAAGTACCAATACATTCATGTCAAAATACTCCATTACAAATATACAGTACGTCCTACATTCAAAATATCACTTAAGGAAAAGTACATTATCAGAAAAATGTACTTTAAGTAGTAGTAGTATCATTGTACTGCGTTTGTGGACACATGAAATATTAAGCATTCATGTTGAGCACCGTTTGCATAGCAACACTGGAGGATACATCATGTTAAAAGTTGATCACATGTTGTGTTAAGGCTAAATCTTCATCTGGAGAGAAACTAAAGCTTTAAAATAAATGCAGTGGATTCAAATACATTATTTAGAAGTATAAAGAAGCATTAAATGGACATTCAAGTACAATCTACTTAGTTATTTTCCACTCACCCGATGACGAAGCATGAGATGGCCGTGCCCAGAAAGGCGTAGGTGATGATGGAGCCCATGTTCCTGAAGAAGTGTCTCTGCGAAGAGAAAAGGACGATTAGACAAACTGCTGCTGTGGGAACATATGAGACAATAAGACTTCTCCTACAGCTGGAAACATAGACTGTAGGAGTTTAGATTGTCCTTATGGTCATAGAGTGTCTCCTTGTAGACTTTTATCATCTCTTGGTAGACATCTGCCTCTATTTGTCCCTTTTTACTAACTATGCCTGCTTCCGTCAATATCTATGTCTCCGTGAGGTCATTTTGTAGCTCTTTGTATTCATTTTGCGTCTGTTTTTGATTGTTTTGTGTATTTTCTTTAAAATATTTTGAAAGATTGTTGTTGGAAATGCTCTGTAAACACTGCAAATGTACATACAAATATATATTTATTTTAAAGAAAGTAAGTGTA